GGGGTAGGGAAGGCAGTGAAAATAAAGGCTGTAAAAACATTTCAGGACCTGTTGATGGGGAGATCTGATGCCATTCCAATGAGTTTGAGTTTTATTGCGTAGGAGTTTTCCAGAAAACTGGTGCTTATGTGGCACACTCGATTCCCAAATAATGCTGAATAATGGCCAAAAATAAGATTCTGAACAAATGCAAATTTTCACTAAGATTACTGAAATTAAAATATACCTTCTTGAGTAAATAAATAAGAACCTAACTCAAGAGGAGAAAATAGCTTCTGAGCTCATTTCTTAAATAATCAAAATATTACTAAATTTATTGAACCTGGGAACTTAAAAGAACTCAGGATAATCTTGTGTCCTTGATTTTCTTTCAAGCAAGCCTGAGAACTTCCTGAACATGTTATTTAGCTGTGTCTCATGTCACCCCTGGAAAGCAAGAGGTAGGCAAGAGTATTATTAGCCTCTTTTTACTATGGGGAAAGTGAAGAACAAAAAGAATAAATTACAGTATGGTCACAAAATACGCTATTATATTTTCTTGGACTTCAATTAAAGGCTTGAAGCCCACATATTATTCTTCGTACCATCTTAATACTAGAATTATCTTTTACTATCATCTAAACAACAAAAAAAAACTAAACTTTAAAATAATTTTCTCAAGTTGGTACTGCCACCAAAAAAGATTTTAAATTCTATCTCTTGAAATAACTGCAAGACCTGCAAAGTGTAAGCAGTAATCCAACCTCCCCCAAAACAGACAGCTGTAAATAGCAGGGCAGGCAGAAATCCTAGGCCTAGCTTTCACTTTGAATATCTGGCAGGCCCAATGTGTGTTTGTAAAACAGGCTTTGCAGATGCTGTGATGGAAAAGTGCTCTAAGAGACCCAGAAGAGCGGAATCAATACTACACCCACGGCTGCGAACATGAAATTCAATACTTTCCTCCTCTGCCCCTCCCTGCATTGCACCACACACCACCACGAAAATCCTGGTACACACTTAGGCCTGTGCAAGGATCCCCCTGACGTTTCCCTTAAAAATGCGGTTCTTTGAGGTTGCCCAGGGCGCTGGGCCTCGGTAAACAGTGAGGACACCGGATGTGGCTTAAACACGTCTCAAAATCTTGCCTCTTCAGAATTTAGGGCCTGGTCCAAACAGTTCAATCGGACAGAGTTCCTGCTACTATTTTGTTTTTCGCACACACGCACTGACAACCCCTACCTTCAAGTCCCCTTCCTCAGCCTCCCGCCACCACCACCCCTCCAAGCCAGGTGGATATCCCAGAGACTTCAAGAGAAAGGAAAGAAAGATTAGAGCGCAGGGGTCCGGGCCCCGAGGCCGTGTGGGGCGGACCGGGGTCTCGCCCGCCCAGACCCCTGAGTCCAGCCGCCCAGACCGGGTCTCCGCCGACGCGCCGCCGCCGCCTATCAGCGGAGCGCAGGGGCGGGGCTGGCTGGCTTCGCGGCGGATCCGCCGACGGGCGGGGGACCGACCGCCTAGCAGCTCGGGCCGCCGCGCGCAGATACCGAGCCCGGCTCCGAGGGCTCCAGCACGGCCCCGGAGAACACGAGGAGCCGGCTAGCGCGTGGCCTGCCGTTGGCAGCTTGGTCCGCCACGCTCGGCGCCCTCCCGCCCCGGAGGTGGGGTCCAAGCCCCAGGGAAAATGGTGTCCTGGATGATCTCCAGAGCCGTGGTGTAAGTGCTGCTCACGGCGCCCCGCAGCCCACGCAAGGCCTAGGGAAGGTGTGGGGAGGGACAGAGGACAGAAGGAGAAGGGAAGGCCCAGGCCTAGGCGTGGGTGGGCTGGCCCGGCCTCGGGCCTGCCTGGGGGTTGGGGGGGTCCTCGGCCTCCTCACCCTGGTCCACGTCGCTGCGGGGCTCCCTGTGGCGGACGAAGGTCCCGCAGCTGCGGCCGG